TGCTAATCACCTATACACCTTAATTGAAAATTGATCAATAAATCTACTGAATATTGAACTTTAGAGGAGCTTTCCCTTATACCTGCCATTTACATATGACCCAAGTTAGCCACCTCGTGGTGAAATTGGGAACTGACTACTGGCATCTACTGAAGGTTATTACGTCATTACATTTTTTTATATTACCTATTGATACCTTGCTGCAAAAGAATGATTTAACTCCCCGATGAAATAGATTGTACAATTCAGATTTTATAAGTTTATTATGAGACCCCATGTCCATAACAAGCACAATCATGACAATGGGTGATCCAGTGACATGCATTTTCATTTATGATTTATTCAATTCTTACATTACAATTCGACAGTCATCTTGGATGCCAATGTGTAAAGGTTTCATACCTTGTAATCAGATGGTAAAATAAATGGTCTGAAATGGGACTTTACAAAACTGTTTCAACTATAAGGTGTTACGCTTGAGGAAACGTGAATTTTATCTTTGTCAAATGGAAGCCCAAGACCCTACCTAAGTATAAAAAATTAAAGAGAGTAAAAAACTTCTATCGTTTTTGATATTTTAAAGCTTTTTAAATAATTTAACACATATTATATCGCATTTATATCTTTCCATCGTAAAATCAATCACATATACGAAAAATGGTCAAACTAATATATATTTTTCAAAGCATATGGGCGTTCTTGTGCCTACAAAACCTTATTGAATCACCAGTAGCCTGTATATAAACACAAAAAAATAACCGTTACAAAATATTTCAATTTTGCTCATCTTGTCGAGTCTTTGATTACGCACTTTTAATAGTAGGCTATCACTGTTCATACAGTGTAGTTGCATCAAATATGTCAGAAATTAAGCAAAATGTGGATTCCTGGAAATTAAAAAGAATTGACACCATTACTCTGGATATGCAGAAGCGTTCTTGGACATCCACATTTTGGATTATTGGTCTTAGTTTCCCTTCCAGATTTGAACAGCTGGTACAACTGATACCCTCTTGAGGTTGCCATTATTGACTCCCCATCTGTACTCCTAAGGAATTTAATTGTGTCTGCTGCAGAAATCATGATTTTCACACAGTCTTGGACTGTTGTGCATTGCCTAAGTCAACGTTTCTCCTTTGCTGATGACATTTCAACTTTTCAAGATGGCCGCTCAGCCAAAATAGCCTCTGACCATTCTCCTTTGTAACTCATGACATTTCAGATGTTTCAATTTTAATGTCATCAATGATGACATTTTTTAATTTCCACTATGACTATTTTTAAAAATATTTCAAACGTTTTGCGCGTTGTTACACCTGCTCCACCTACCCTACACATGGGTTACTATGGCAACCATATTATTAAGTCTACTGGCCTTCATGATACGAAACTTTCTCAAAATAGTCACAACATATTTGGACACATTTTGTTTAAAATTCAGTGAGATTGAAAAGGAGACCAATAAAATACAGCATCATTCCTGAAACATATGGAACACCCTGTGTCCTGTATATACCACCTTTAAAGGCCATGTAGAAGGTTTATACCACGTTAGTTTATATTTTAGTCACTATACACTAGCCTTTCTAAATGTAATATGTGGAACATCCTTTTTAGTCAAAACGTCAAAACTCTAAATCTAAATTGATGAAATAACTAATTAGTCTAATTAATACATTAAGACCCCTAACATATGAGCGAACATGTGACGAAAATTCTTAAATGATAAAAATATTTTTGAAACTTAGCATGGGGCCTTTTATTTTTTTTACTATAACGCTACATGAAATCTGGACGCGATGCACGTCTCTATAACTCTGGGATTCATTTTGCTGTGGCTATCTTTTCGGGATACCAAAAGGTAAATAAAATATATTAATTGATGAATATTAATTGTTAGAATAAAATTGGAATTCAAAAAACTAAAATTGCCATAGTTTGGGAAAATGGATATGATCTATTCGATTGAACATTGTAGTGGGTGGTGTACCAGTCAAAGGCGTCGAGAGGAACGGTACACAGTGCAAGTGTCGTATCGCAAGTTGCAAAAATACGGAGCCAAGTGTGGTCTTTTTGGTTGGCGGCGCTGTACCAGATATAGGTAAAGTGTGACGCATGGAACCAGGTGACCCATAATCCATCATAATCTCATTATTATCGTTCTCTCGGTCCATTTAATCTACTCTTCTACTATTCTCCTTCTACTCTAATTTCATTCTTGTAACTTCTGAGCCATTGTTAACACACAATATGGCAATAGTTAATGAAAGAGATTTGGACTAAAATGAAATTCTTTCTCGTGTCAAATAATAAAAATAAAAATCTACCCTGTGTACCCTCATCAATATGTTTTCAATTTACTGTAACTTAAGAAGTACAAGGAAATACCTTGGTTCTCACCTTGATTCAAATTTGCGTGTATTCATATAATTTGATATATGGGCCAATTTACGATAACTGATATTTCAAAAAATGCAAAATTGGAAAATTAAAATATTCATATGACAATGGATTTTTCATGAATTGTAGAGGAAACACATTACATTTTATGAATTCGTAAGCGGCATGTATATTGGCATTTCGTAACCTGAGCAATTTTCAAAGGAATAAAAAATTAACATATTTTCGTTAATCGTTTATTGGTCTGGTTTAATTTCAAATAAGATATTATTTATCACGTTTGTGTGTGTCAAACAAACAATAAGCATGTTTCCTTGGATTTTGGTATTGAATTGTAAAAATAAAAATGTAAATAGAGTCGACGTTATCGTTTGACATTTTTAACCTCAAATTATTTTGAATGACCCCTATGTCAAAAGCGATAACTTAAGAAATGGGCAATATACGTTCATACAATTTTACATGTACAGTTCTTCTCCGATGCCCTCACTATAGGACAAAGTTTGTGGCCTTCATTTAATAATGTTCTTTTCCAGAAAAGGGTGTCTAATAATCATGAGTCCTCCAATACACATCTTTTTTGGATGATACATTTATATAGACTCCATTAATCATTTCAGGAGTATCCCTTTTACTATGACATGGCCTACTTTATAACATCATCATTATAAATAATGTTGAAAAGCAAAATATTTATTAATTTTCAATCTTTTAAAATACTTTAAGGTATTTTAATATAATATTAGTTTAATTTTGAAAGTGAATGGACCGGGTCCTATTATCACAATGTGTGTACCAGGTGAACGTGCACTGTAGGTACAATACGAGGGTGATGACATTTGAGCAAACTGAATGTTTTCATCGTATCAGAAAGATCTGATCTAGTTTCTATATTTTTATATGTAAATGTTTGTAACAACATCCTAGACAGTGAACTTGACCGTGAATTTTTTAGTTCAAACTTCACAAACTATCAATGTAGTTTATGGTATAATGCTCGGTTACGGCAAGGTACAACACATAGGTTGGCGTTTCGATTTTACGCAAGCTTAAACTCCCTTATATTACTTTTTCTCCTCCCACGAAGAAATGTAAAAGAGAAGGATTAATACGGAGAGCTTTTTAGAAGTTTCTAACTTTTTTATTCTGTACGTGGTAATCGTGGAATTTAGACACATTTATTAGACTGAGGTGGATTTTAACATCCTGAAATATTGTATAGTATCTTTAAACGTTAGTTTCTACAACGTGTTTTGTGAAGCAATAAAATTCCATTTTCTATTTTTAACCGTTACCTTTTGCTTATAAAATAAAAACCTAGTCTGTACGAGCAAAATAAAATTTGTCGATAAAGTAAAGTCTTAGTTTTCGTAAAGAAACCGATGCGCATACCACCGGAAGTATCTTTTAAGATTTTTTTAGAATTGATTCCACTTTAGGGCCTTTAAGAAAGGGGACCATAATCCCTGGGGGACCATCATTTCTTTCACACCGGGCTTTTTAAACAGGAGACTAAATTTGGTTTTCGTAGCTTTTGATTACGTTTAATCTAAAAGAGCTTTTTCGAAATGACCATCATAAGATACTGGGGTAATTTCTTTTTCCAAACAACACGCACGCACTTTTTTGTCTGAAGTCTTTTTTTATATTACTCAAGCCCTTAGCCAGGCTGTATGTGTGTGGGGGAATTGGGGGCTCGTGCGATCTTGAACGATATTCTTTCTATTTTACCTTCAAGATTTGACATTCGGTGACCTTTTCAAAATTGCCGACAATGTCACTAGACTTTGGCAATTGTTTAAGTTTGTACAGCTGTATTTTATGGAATATAATAAAGATGATTAATAATAAAAAAAAAAAAACTTTTCAAGGTCAAAAAGATCTTTTTTCAACTTGCTTCAAATTGACCAATTCTTTTTCCAAAATATCTACAAGTTATCAAAAGTTCAAATCTGACTTTATATTTGAGATTCGACCTTCATTGACCTTCTCAAGGTCAAAATTAAAAGGGTCAAAAAGGTTTTTTCGACTTGTTTCAAATTGACCAATTATTGTTCCACCACAGGTCAGGAAAATGTCGAGTTCGGAATTAGAACATAAATTTGAAAGATTGTTTGATCAATTGGACACCATAAACCAAAGATTAAAAGTAGTAGAGGATAAGGAAGAAACTAAGGATAGTAAAGACTCTCAAGAGCAAAGTCAAACTAATCAACAGGCCCGTTTATTCGACACAGTTTCCAATGGCGGGGGGGTTGGGTGGTCCAGCCATAGGTTATAACCCACGTGGTTCTTCCAGCCCTTCGTACAGCGTAGAGGTGCAACAAGAATTTGAGACATTAAAGGCGCTTTACAAAAAATTAGACTACAAAATAGACATAAACTATTAGAGTCACGAACAGGCATAAAACGTGCAGATCAAGACATTGTCACTATATTAGGTAAATTAGCCAGATACACAGAAGTTGCTTTCAAATGGCTTTACACTCAGGACCCCCGGTCCATTGGAGTTACAACAAATGTTTACCATCCTTTCTGCTCAAATGAACTGTTTCCAATCAGAATATACAGCGTTGGTTGTGAACAATACATACATACATAAATTCAAAGTGAATCCTAATTTTTCGAAAGTATCCAACAAAATTTGCTTATATGTGCACTTATTTGATCAGGCGAGGCACTTAATATACAGTCATCCACGAACATTGATAGTCTTAATCCACATTGACGTAAGTGTTTCACAACCTCATTTACTGTTTTGCAGAAATAATACGGGCTACATGACAACCCAAAAGGCAAATATGCCCACGTATAATATTTTCCTTGCCACTCAATTCCTAAATACTGTTGATTATCATCCGAGACAGGAATATGAAAGAATCCATCTTTAATATCAGTTGTAATTAGCACATCATTAGGCTAAATGAAATCGCAGATATTTGATATACTGTCATAACAAAATGATGGTACTTTACAGTGTTGATTTAGATACCGAAGATCTGTTATTAGTCTAAATTTTCCTTTCTTTTTAGGTACACATCCAATTGGTGATACACATCTAGGTTTTTTACATTTTTTTACCAAAATTCCCCGATCACATAAATCAGTCACTGTTTGTGATACAAATTGATTTTCGATAGTTGTTAATTGGTGATTTTCCAATAAAAATTCATCAGGTTCCTTACCCTGGAAAATAAGATTTACACCATTGTGAATCCATCCAAGAACAGTTGAATTACATCCAATGTTTATCCAATCTTGATATGAATCCTTTAGTATCATTAATCCTGGTTTTGATTGTCCTCATTAGGTGTGAAGCTTTGGCGAAAAGGCGGACGATTCCTAGGTATAAACCCTCTCGGTTGATAGAAGTTTCCACGACCGCGACCGTAGTTGTTACCCCCCTATCACACCAAACTAGTTCTTACCCGTTCTTGCCAGTCCTACGAAAACGTCGTAAAACGGGCTCAATCTGACTGTGGTCGGGAAATATGTCTGAAATAATTAGCTTCTTCGTTCTTAAACAGTCTTCAATACGTCCATCTCGTTCGCAGTTCGTTCAGGTCGCACCACGTCGGTGTGCAACGTAGTAGAACGCGTCCCTTAGTCTAGAAGGTCAACTTGACCTGATTACAGAACGGCATAGTCGCCATCGAATTTTGAATCGATTCAAAATTCTAAAATCACATTCCCGTCTGAGAACGTTCATAAAGTTCGTAAATAGACCTTAGAAAGTTGCAGCTACGTTCATTCCGTTCGCACACAGTTTAAAACCAGTTTTGGAGAACGCAGTGGCAACTTGTTTGGTGTGATAGCTATATTTTTGCTAACTCGTTCATAAGCAGTGTTAAATACGTTCTTAATCAGTTTAAACCCGTTTGCAATTAGTTCTACCTAGTTCTAAACACGTCCTCAGACAGTTCAACTCGTTGTTAAAACGCCCCTAGTAGGATTGAAGTACGACGGTTCCGTTCGTAGTACGTCCAGCTCGTCGTTAGTACGTTTTCACTCGTTCTAATTGTAGAACGTGACGACCACGAGAACATTTTGAGCATTGTCTAAGTTCTAGAGGACCTACCCGTTCGAGTACGTTCGATGAAGTTTGTAAATAGATCCCAAACGGTTCTTAGTAGGTCCAGTCCGTTCGTACACAGTTGAAGCCCGTTTTCGAGAACGTAGTGAGAACTAGTTTGGTGTGATAGTAGGGTTATTGAACGCATTCCAGAGACGTCCCATGTAGTTATTATTTTGGAATCCAAATCGATTCTGCGCACCGTACGTTCCACGACCACGATTATTTTCTTGTCTTCTTGACGCAATGTTAGCAGCTGTGTGTAAATTCAGTCTTGATTCATCATTAAACATCTGAGGATTCGTTGTAACGCTTTGTAAAGCTTGGATGTATCGTCATCACATGTATTGTTCACAACCAACGCTTGAGCAATGGACGTTGCAAACGTTACCTACTATCACGCCAAACTAGTTCTCACTACGTTCTCGAAAATGGGCTTAAACTGTGCACGAACGGATTTTACGTACTAAGAACCCACTAAGAACCGTTTGGGATCTGTTTACAAACTTCATGAAACTACTCGAACGAGTGGGTCCTCCAGAATTTAGAGCATGCTCAAAATTTTCTGGTGATCGTCACGTTCTGCAATCAGAACGAGTGACAACGTACTTAAAACGATCTGGACGCACTGGGGACACACTACGAACTAGTCCAACAACATTAGACCTAGCCTGGGCCTCGTTTCTTATCTGACATGTCTTATGGCCCCGACTAGGTCTAACCTCCGTGATCATTTTGCCCTTGATGCGTTGATTTAATCGTTCCACAGGCTTCGACAACTAGTTAAACTAGTTAAACCCTGAAACCATGGTAATATTACACAAAGAATGTGATTCAAGCATGCATACATACCTTATGAATACATACACACCATCCCGTATCCCCGTTAGACCCTATTGATGCATAACCAGAACAACGGCAACGCCAAAGCGTAGCGAATCCCATCGAACAGAAATGGCTGGCATTTTTACAAACGAAATATATAGCAAATATCATAAGACAACACACCAGAAATGCCACCATTTTCAAAATGGTTGCTCACTAGCCAAGTTGTCATCAGAAGAAATAAGATGCTTTTAAGTAGCCACCTATAAAATTTTTGAAAAATCGCACACATGTACTTATAAAATAACACACATAAAAATGGTGGCCATTTTTCAAAATGGCCGACTACTCCCAAAAGTTTTATTAGACAATGTGCCATGCTTAGAGTATTCACATATCAAATATGAACAAAATCGCTCCACTACTTTTCGAGTGAAAGTAAAAAATGTAAAAATGATAGCCATTTTTTAAAATGGCTGTCTACTATCCGAAGTGTCACGAGACAGTGTGCAAGGCTCATGAGTATTCAGATATCAAATATGAACAAAATCGCTTCACTACTTTTCAAGTTGTAGTAAAGAACGTAAAAATGGTGGCCATTTTTCAAAATGGCCGCCTACTCCCCAAAGTGTCATTAGACAGTGTGCTATGCTTATAGTATTCACATATGAAATATGAAACATACCAAATATGAACAAAATCGCTGAACTACTTTTCAAGTTATAGTAAAATACTGTAACGGAATTTTAAATGTAAAATTTTTGATTTTTAATGAAGTGCTGTGTTTTTGTACATTAGGTAATTATTACACTGGGAAAGTAATTTCCCATTGAGATTATTAAGATTTATAAATGTATTATCATTTGCAGCACTTAGGTTGTACTTACAGAGGTGAAATAGTTCGCATGTTTTATTTATTTGATCACGATTTTGTTTATGTTGATCGGGCAGTCTTATCTGGCAGTCTATCTGGTAGTTGATCGGTAGTCTAACATGGCACCTTTATTATTTTACTTCCTGCTTTTGATTCGATTGAATCGAAGTGAAATTAGACTAGATAGTGGTTAATTACTGTTATATTTCTTGAGTCAATATTATAATCTTGCTGTATGATCAATATTGACGCGAAATATGGCGTAAGTAAGCTGTAATTCACAGTTGAAATCTTGTCCGAAAATTAATGACGTCATCGGGCCTATATAAGTATCTCGCTGTTGAAGGATCGTCAGTGCGATGCCAGATGTTGTCGAGGGAGGACCTCCAGAGCGGAATTTCGGGAAACAGCTAAAATCTTCTAAGTTTTATAGAACTTAGTCGATTTTGTGGTGTTGAGGCTATACGTTTGCAGTATACACATGAAGATAGAAGCTGTACCTTAGTAGAATACATCTGATGAGCCAAGCTATACGTTTGCAGTATACAAGGGCGGATTGAGGAAACTAAGTGTGCGAAACTTAGTTTATTTTGGAACTTGGATTTTTGGGAAACTTTGATGCAACTAAGTGTGTGAAACTTAGTTTATTTATCGCACTGGAAGTAAGGGAGATCTACAAGACTGGACAAAACTTCAACAGGGTGAAGCTATCCCCAGCGCAAAGCATTAGACGTATTGTCCAGCCTTCATAGACTGAGAGGAAATGCTGACATAACTTGTGTTTGAGAAACAAACTATTTTGATCATCAAGGAAGTTAGACGATTTACAACATTATTGGACTTAGTCAGTATTTGGTGAAACATTATTTTGGACTTTGTTATTTTTGGAGATAGAAATATTTAACTAAGAATATTTTAACATCAGTATAACTTAGCATGAAATTAACTTAGTCAATATTTGGTGAAATATTATTTTGGACTTTGTTGTTTTTTGGAAAGAGAAATATTGAACTTAGAATATTTTAATATCAGTAGCACTTAACATTAAATGAACTTAGTCATTTTAGAGGTCAAATATTTTCACATGTTATATTTTTGCATATGTCGTTGTGTGCATGCTATATTTGTAGGTAGCCTTATTATGTAATTGTGAAGGAAGCAGGCTACATGGACTTAGCAGTTGATGCCGTGTATTAGACGTCCTTGGACTTGGTAGATTGAAGATTGTGATAGTTTGACTTATACATCTACAGAGAGGAAGTTCCAGGACTTAGCAGATTATCCAGCGAGATATTTTGACTTTGATGATCTTGTGTCATTGAAGTTAGAATATACATCTACATTGAGGAGGATCCTGGTGATAGCCGTTCACAGAGCTGATAGTTTGACTTGGATTATTTCACATAATCAAAGTTGAACTATACTACAACACAGAGAGAAGGATCCGGGAGATAGTCATTTCCAGACTTGATAGTTTGACTTAGATTATTTCACATAATCAAAGTTGAATTATACTACAACACTTTGAGGAAGATCCAGGAGATAGTCGTTTACAGACTTGATATAGTTTGACTTGGATTATTTCACATAATCAAAGTTGAACTATACTACAACACAGAGAGAAGGATCCAGGAGATAACCATTTACAGAGTTGATAGTTTGACTTAGATTATTTCACATAATCAAAGTTGAATTATACTACAACACATTGAGGAGGATCCAGGACTTAGGAGTTTACACAACTGATAGTTTGACTTAGATTATTTCACATAATCAAAGTTGAATTATAATACAACACAGTGAAGAGGATCCAGGAGATAGCCGTTTACAGAGCCGATAGTTTAACTTAGATTATTTTACATAATCAAAGTTGAATTATACTACAACCCAGAGAGGAGGATCCAGGAGATAGCCATTTACCGAGCCGATAGTTGACTTGATGATTTCACATTATCAAAGCTGAATTATACTACAATACAGTGAAGAGGATCCAGGAGATTTACGTTTACGGAGCAATAGTTTGACTTAGATGATTTCACATCATCAAATTTGAATCATACTACACTACATAGAGGAGGATCCAGGAGATTACTATTTCAGGTTCAAGTTACAAGTACAATACAAGACGTACAAGTATTACAACATATATGAACTTTTAATATTGGAGATACAACAGTGGTATATAGTGATCATCTACTTTAGTTTATATGGACTCTGGATATTGTGTTCTTAGTGATTATTATTAGCTTATACGGACTCTAGATATTGCTTTATTAGTGATAAATATTAGCTTATATGGACTTTTGAGTTGTGAGTTTTGAGAGAGATAATAATATCGTAGCATTTTAACCTTCATACTTGACATTTAATGTACATCTTTATTTGGGCTTATAAACGCCACAATATACTGTTTTATATTTATATTTAATTGTATATGTCTGTTTAATTCTTTAGGGACAATCGCACATTTAACGTGTGCCGTGTAACTCACCAAGTAAACACCATTTACTAAACAGTGGGCCTATTATAAGCCACGCTACCACGTATATCCACAAAAATAGGCCAAACTGTTACATTGGTGGCAGCGGTGTTGGGATTGAC